CCCCTCCTCCTCCTCCTCCTCCTCCTCCTCCTCCACCGAGTTCAACAAATAATTCACCCAGAAATGAAAAGTCTTCCATTATTTACTTGCCCTCATGTTGTTTCAAACTCGCTCTGAGGAACCTGTCATGGTCCAAAAAAGACAAAAGCATGCTAACAGTCATCAGTATGACTCAAGTGCTGACTTCAATAGTCATGTAACAGCTTTGTATGAGGAACAGACTAAAAATTAAAATCATTTTTTTGTGCGTTGCATATGTAAAAAAAAAAAGAAATGAAATGGAACGCATGCAACCTGTTTAAATATGGCAAATGCAGAATAATTTTTGAGCCAGTGATATTTTAGTATCACTGAGATACTCGGTTCGCTCTTCACACGCTACGAGCGGCCGGCTGAAAACAGCTACTGACTCGGACACGGAGCCGAAGCGTCTGTGCGTCAGTCAGTCAGCCACCACCATCCTCCTATGATATTTCTATGAAGTAGATACACTGGAAAAGATTTGGTGTAGAAACAATTTTACTCAGAAATTGCTAATTGCACAATAAATTACAAAGAAATGGCAAGTAGCCAGTGTTATTTTAGTATCACTGAGATACTATTATAGTTTTTATTAATATTTTGGATTTTTTTAAATTTTTATATTTATAATTGTAATTTTAGTTTAAATTGTAGTGGTTTTTTTTATTTATTTGTCATTTGTATTCATTTTTTTTTTTTTATGTCTATATATAGCTTTTTTCAGCTTTAGTTATTTTGGGACAAGTTACTAAACTAAATAAATTACTAAATAAAAAACTAAATAAATTATATATAAAATAAAAATAAAATTGTAAGTCGCTTTGGATAAAAGCGTCTTCAAAATGACTAAATGTAAATGTAAAATATATAAAATATTTTATTTAAATTAACAAAAACATCTTTGTATGTTTTTATAGTTTTAGTTAACTAAACCTGGGTTGAGCTTCTTCATTAACAATGCTGCAAAAAATCCTGTTGTTTTTACAGAAAAAAAAACTAGCAGCTGTAGGTGCCGAATAATACTAGAAATACAGCAAAAATGTAAACATATTTACAAAACAATTGTAAAATTCACTGTAAAATTACATATGTAAGGTTAGATCTACTACAGTTTTTATATAGTAAGGGAATTAACAAAATAACAGATTTTTAGTGTAGCATTTTTACAATCATTTTCTACAGTGAAGTCACTGTAATGTTTTTACACACTATCTAAATGAGGTCAAATGACTGACTTCTGTTGTTTTTATATGAAGCTAATTATAATTATGACAGACAAACCCAAATCCCTCCCTAAACCAAACCCTTATGAATCATATTTTACCTTTGAAGTTGTTGTACCTAGCCTTGTCTGTGTAGTTTTTCCCCCCCCAATCTTTTAACTTGTGCTAATTCACATGCTGTCTCTAAAACAATCCCGGAGAA